CTGGCTGTGAAGTTAACTTTCTCCCTTTCGCGCGCTTTTTTTAAAAATCCCGTTAAATCCACCGAACCGAGGGATTTAGTAAATCCGGAATTTAAGCCGTAAATCCGTAAATCCGGGATTTAACGCGCGCTCAAAAACCGTTTGGCTGGATTTAGCGTAAATCCGACTTAAATCCCACGATAAATCCGATACCAAACAGCCCCTTAGATTTACCGTGAGATTTAACTTTGCTTTTTTTGACGTTTGGCAGGATTTAGCACAATCCTAACATAAATTCGGCATACATTCTGCATCCAAACAGCCCCCAAAGCTGTCGACCTAGATTCATTTGGAATGTCTGCTTTCATTAACCATCGTCTTGCCTAGCCGGCAACCATCCCTCACCTCTCTGGCAGCTATCTTTAACGGTGCCTGTGACCATCCCTTGTTTCTCCTGAGCTTTCTCTCACAGTCAGCGTGGCCACAGTCTCCAAGCAGGGAGCTCCCTCATCTCGCAGACACATTTATCTTCCGTCGTGATATTTTAAGAAACAAGTATATTTCTGTTTTCTTGTTCAATATTCTCTCTCATTTTGTGATAACTGTGAATATAATCAGAGCAATTCCTAATCTTTATTTTCTTTAAGAGGAAGAACCCTCATTATTCTCATTCTTTTTGTATGAAGAAAAAAATAAGGATTACTCTCACCTAAATTGTTTAATAATCTCTTTCTCTTTTATATTTTTCCTGTTCTTAACAAACACTTCATCTTAGCATCAAAGTATCACTTTAGGGTCTGTTTGGTTGAAGGTTAGTAAATCTGGATTAGACAAATCCAATTCTATTTGGATTTAGTAAATTTGATGGTTGAATTGCTTGGTTGCCCACCAATTCTTGAGTCCAACTAAATCATAGGTCTATGTCATCGCGGATTGGAATATTTGGGGCTTTTAAATAGGTTTAGTGAATATTGCTGAAGTAAATTTCTTAATCCTAGTGTTGCCAGGATTTGATAAATTCTGAATTTGAGCTAAGATTTATCAAATTCTGTTAAATTCATGATTTACATGTGGAATTTAGAAATCCTTTATAACACATTTGTTAAGATTTGTCCTTTAATTCCATGGGAGTTTATTGTGATTTTTACACTTGGAGTTTAATTCATTATTTTTGTGGAGGAAGATTGGCCATGCATGTGAGTTGTTTGCTAACTGCCCACAAAAGGACTTGATGTTATGGGTTTTTCCTGGCAAGCTCTTGACAATACTGATTAGACACCAAAAAAGATTGATATAAATAAATAAGTTATATTAGTGATTTTTAATTTAACGAATAATGTTACATTAGTTATTAGTATTTATTAATTTCAAAGCATTATAAATATGTTTTTTTCTTTTTATTTTTCTAATTAAACTAAATAGCCATATTAAGGAACTTAAACAAAATTTGTATGGAACTAACACACTAGTGGTTTGGGGTAGTGGACTCTTGAGTAACATTGTGAGTTTGATTTGAAGTTCGCTAAAAAAATAATTTTTGGTTTCGATTGAGCTATGATCAAAATTATTGAGTTGACTATATGAGCTAAGCTCAGCTTGAATCGAACTTGAATTGAACTAAGTCTTGATCAGATTGAGTTAGCTTGAGTTCGGATCAAATGTATTCGCCTATATATATGAATCCATTCACACACACACACTTGCTTGGCTCAATATTGAATTAAATGACATTGCGTCACTCTTGAGTTCGGGTCAGGTAGGCTTGAGATGAAATTATTAAAAAACTCACTCATGAAGTTCTTATCTTATTGGTTATGAAATTTTTTAGGATAAAAATATCTTTTGATGCACTAACATATAAACATGATTCCATTTTTTTCAAAAGCAAATGAGCCATATATGGAATTTTTTAGCATATTTGTGTGTAGACTGTGAAGGTTCGGGGTAGTGGACTCGTGTTATTATGACCATGTGTGTTATGTTGTTGAATCCATTGAATTTAATGAGCACCATATTTCGTAGGACATAGATTTCTTCTCTACTTATACTCCCCCCTAATCTGCATTTGGTGTCTTTTATTATATTCCTTGCTTCCATAATGGAAATCATTGTGATGGCTAGTATTTTTAGTGTATGGAATCAAATCACGGGTCACAATTATTTCTTTTCTCATTCGGAATGGTTGAAATTTTCTTTACTTGCATAGTTGCTGATGATAGCTCTCCTTTGTGAAGTTCTATAAGACTTTCATCCAACTATTCTTACAAAAGATTGTTTGTTATCAATCATTGTTTAAAATTGTGTAGTGTGAGCTTCTCCTCAACACAATTTCGACAAAAAAAATGCCTTGAGGCATATGCCTCGAGCTTTTTTTTAAAGATGTGCACTTTAATTTTGCTGAAGCACGTCTGCCTCACTGGCATGAGGTGTACGTCTCACTCTCTCTCTCACTCTCTCTCTCTATATATATATAAAATAAATTAAGACTTACCTAAATCCTAAACTAAAGCCCCAAAGCCCCAAAACAAATCAAACCTTCATGCATTGCTGAGCCACATCATCTTCCTCTCGACGGCCTTGGCCTCCAGCTCGTCGTCTTCGTAATTTCTATATTTTATGTTGTTTTGGCCTTGTGATGTTTGGATTTCAATTCTATGTCACACATTTGATCAGTTTCCACTCTGCATCTTGTGAATTTTTTGTTTCATATGTATGCTAATTTGTTACTTCATAGTTCAATAGAGAGTTAATATGTTATCTTTTAACATATTATTTGATTATTATTCAAAAAAATCACTTTTAACATTTATTTTTACTTACACAATTCTTGGATTTTGAGGTTTATGCCTCAAAACTCCTTAAGACTTACATCTTGCCTCACGGACGAAAAATACCTCAGTACCCAACTGTGCAATTTTAAACATTGGCATCAATTCATGTTTGTTAAAGAATGTTTTCCACCAGATACTTTGATTACTCCTAGTTGATATTTGTAGATACTATCATTATCTCCTCTAACTACTTTTGAATATTTTTACTTATACCCTATTTGATGTTCTCCGTAGACTAGGAAATTGCTAATGAGATATAACCGAGGGAATTGTTTTGGTCTAATTTTGATCTTGTTTTGATAAACTTGCATGATTGTTCAGGAGAAGTTTGTGTACTGTACGAAAGAAACTTTCGTCTTTTTTATATGATCAAAGCTTGAATTTGTTGAATTATGGTTATTCCCATGGTGTGATCTGGACCCAAAGTTTCATTCCACTGTTCCAAAAGAGTACAAGTTTCATTAAGACATGACCTTGTTCTCCTCAGTTCACCATAATAAAACTATTGTATTCTTAGCATCGCCATTGTTATTCATTTATTATAAAGGAAGACATTTCATTTCTCCTCTTTTATTACTTTGATCCATGATGTCTCTGCAGTTTTTTGTGAATGATATCCTTTCAACCTTGGACATGGGTTTAGCGTCATATTCCCTTCATCTCCATTCCTAGAAAAGGCTGCGTTTGGAGTTTTTTCTTTTACGAAAATGCATACTTACCAATTAAACATTCTGTGGGTATTTCACCCCTTCAGTAATGCTATTCATATCTCCCGATCCAGATGGGCTTGGTTACCATATTAGTTTATTTTTAATCTTTAACAACATGCAATCTTGTTGGTTATAGCTTTCATTTTGAGATGTTTCTGTTTATACTTTATTTCATTGAATGTTTTAGCTGTTCGAGATTTATTTGTTGGTTCGTTTCTATATTCTATTGCTCTTTGCTAATTTAATATTTACCAATTGGATTGGATGCTAATTTATTGATAGCCTTGCAGCAAGTTTTTTTCTCAAATATTGAGATGATATTTCCAACACAATTAGAATCTGGAGTGCTTTCTAGTTTGCAATCAGTGCAACCCATTCAGCATGATTTTAACACCTTTTGGCGAGCAGACCAAGTTCATGAACATTTAAGGAACTTGCAGGAAACTATTCATCTATTAAAATCAGTGTATGTATTTATGGTCTCATATTTGATCACAAAACAATACTAATTTACATTATCCTGGGGCACATTGGACATTAGATCAGCCTGGCCCTTATAAGCACGATCTAAATTGTTTATTCTTTGGCAGGCAGAAAGAACTAGAGGGAATTTATCTAATCAAAAGATCCAATTATACTGTTGAAGGTGATGGAATGCCTTCTAATCACTTGCAAGGACAAAAGTTGCTTTCTCCTCCCTCTGATTCCTTTGGGAATGAAATGCTTTATAATATAACTGAGATAATCAAAGAGAAGAAAGTTTACCCGGAAGTACAAGAATCTCTTTCTTTAGAAGCCGCGAACTCATTAGTTGCAACTGTGAAAAGCCAACTTTCCCCATTTAATGCCATCACGAGCCAGACAAGTCAATGGGAGGAAAAATCCTTGGCAGTGAAGTTAGTTCAAAAGCTGCAAAAGTACAAGAGGAATAAACATTGGAAAAAGAGAAAAAGAAAACAAGTTGCAGAGCTACTACAGATGGTTGCTTGGATCCTACTTTTAGATTATGCATTTATTCCTTACTGACGGCTTGTAAAACTTTGCAAATCCTACATTTTTTTAAAAAGCATGTTGGTAAATTTGGCTGTTGCATACCATGCCTTGAATATTTGAATCTATGATTATGATGATTTTCTTTTTGTTTTACCTGTTGACCAATAGGAGCATGAACGATATGATAAGGCCGATGAAGATGCTGATGAGTGGAGGGCAAGAGAGATTGCCAAGGACATTGGAAAACGCAAGGTACCACTACCATCTTTTGCAGGTGCTGATTTACCTTTTTGATAAATATCTGGATGTTTGTTTTTGTTAATACCTAACAGCCATCAGTTAATTGAAATTGACCTGTATCTTGATGTGCTTATGCTGAAAAAATTCATAAATTATCTTCTTACTCAAAACATTTTTTATAGTTATACATTTTTCATGATCTGTTTCTTGTTTAATTCATGCTACTATTCTACCCTCTTATGACATTGTTGTTCTTTTAGTGTAATGCTTCTAATATCTCCAACTTCCAATTTAAAATGCAAAGCATGACAGGCAACGGCTTTGAAAAACTGGTAGCTTGATAGTATGAGTGATCGGTAATGGAAAGCTAAGATAATGTAGACATGTTACTGGCTTTTAGAAATTCACATGATTTCAGGTTAGGATTTTTTGTATTTTAATGAGGCTGATTGGATATATTTGTAAAAGAGTTTCCCTGTAAATGGGCTTTGTCTATCCCTCCATATTGAGATCGTAATCTTGGTTAATGAGTCCTATGGCATGACCCTTTGTGTTGGCATTTGTCACATGTAAGTGACATGTTCCTTTAAACTACTGCCCTGGGAATGAATATTGAGTAACGTTGTATGGATGTCATGGTTCTATTATTTAGGGATTTATGCCAATGATCCTTTTAACCTTGACAATTTAGCAGCAGGCGAGGCACTTCATGCCTTGCTACTGACATTACGTCAGGAAACTTGCAAATGATTAATAGCATTTGTCGAAGAGTCTTGTTTGCCATTATTGGGTGCCACATTAAGAACTATGTTTTTTTATGATAGATCTTGGTTTATTTCATTGGAAAGGGATTTACTATAGGGTAAATTTCGTGTCTGAAAATAATGAATACGCCTGATTGTGGCTCAAATGGGTGAAGTATACTTGATTTTTGTTTAGACTTTAGAGACATTTGGCATGTTTCATGATAGACGGTTAAGAGAAATAATATGTTCAACAATGTTTTAGAGGTATATTATGAAAAATTCAATTATGTATCAACAAACATTAATCTAGTTTGAAAAGTGAGTTTTTGAGAATTTATTGTTGTTTTTAATATAGTGACATGAAGCCTATGATATTAACATGGAAGGCATTTATATTTTGTTATTTTTGGGGTGCACCAATTCTTGAACATGCTTGTTGATGCTTGTTGATGTAATTTATTATAGGATGTGTTGTTGACTTGACACTTTTTGATAAGTTTGAAGGTTATTTACTGGTTGAATTAGGGCCTTAATACACTTTTTGTGTATTATGTTTGGTGCATGGGTGCCTTTTCATGCTTTTAGGTGCAATACATGAGATTAGTATTTACTATTGGATGCCTTGCCACGTTAACACTTATTGATATATTTAAATCAGGTGCTTTGGTAAGCTTATTAAGGTTAAGGCTTGAATAGAATCTTTCAATCAACTATGAACTAAATGTGATCATACTCATGTGTTGATGATTAGCTTGATTAACCAAGTTGGATATTTATAATTTTAAATATATTTAAGGGGTGATTATACACTTTTCATAAAAGTTAAGGGTGGTGTTTGTATCGTTGAGGCTTGTGGATTCTTTGATGCTTTTGAAAGTTACTTAGAAGCTTGATTTTGAAGATTAAATCTTTAGAGTATTCTAGTCTTGTTTACTTGGACGGGCATTTTGATTTTTTTAAATATTAGTTGTCATTTCAATAAATTTGAACTTCGATTGGAGTAGATAGAAGATTTTGAGCTCTATAGGTCAATTTAGTTAGTTTAATTTCCTGACGAGAGCAACTTGAAAGTGTTTTGTTTGCGTTGTCGTGTCAGGAGGGAAATTCTTTTTAATGTTTAGCTTAAATAAATTGTAATTAAATATTTGCCAAGAAATTTTCTCATTAGATAGCACATGAAAGTATATTTTTCATTTGTGAATTCTCGGTGGGGCAGATTAGGCATTTTAGCCTATGATATTTAGGCCATGTATCTACGATGTACATTTTGGGTAGAATGCATGATACATTTTTCCCTAACATGAGGTATATCCAATTCATTTTCCATTGTTTTGCAGATTTTGTTAGGTAACATGTGTCTACTCAATCATCTCATTTAAGTTGTTGCATAGTTTGCTAGAAATGCCCATTTGAAGTGCCTTTGGGGAATTTTAGCATAGCAACATACGTAACTTAAATAACCCTAGAATGCTATCAAAATTGATGGTTGCCAATAAAAACCAGAATGTCTACATCAAATCATTATTATAGGCAATATAAGAATGATGTGTGCCATGGTTTTTGCCACATGAAAGATCCATTGAAAGAAAACAATTTAAAATTAAGAATTGAAAAATATCTACAATGGTGGATGTAGAAATTACTTTATTCTATGTTGGATTGGTGATGGAAAGTCCTAATCATATTGTGAGAATCGGACTTATCAGGTTCAGCAAAATCGGCCCGGTTTTGTAGAACCGGCTATGTATTGTAGCACAGAGCGGAATCGAGAGCAGAAACTCGAAACCAAGTGGGTCGCATGATATGTGACGGATCGTTTCACCGTTCTAAGTGACTAATTGCGTGCAGGAGGGAAAATAGTGACTCCTCGTGAGTTATAACTTCTATTCGCAGTCCTTTTGGAGCAACTCGCGTGAGAAGTGTCAGTTGAGAGAAACGGCTACGAGGAAGGAAGAAAGGAAGTTTTCAATTTCATTTCTTTTGACATTTTTCTCTTATGTGATTTAATTCTAAGAAAAGATCAGTTATTTTAATTGTTTTTTTTACATTCATAAATATTTTATTTTCTCTAACTGACAACATAATAAGTGATTAACGAATCGGAAGGAGAAATATGGTGGGAAGTGTCTTGATTCAAAGCGAAAGAGAAGAATACATTTTGAGGTAATTATAAGTGCATGAGATTTTAAATTATGTCATGAATATATCAAATAATAAATTTAATTTAGAAG